TGTTGGCGCGGCTGTTTTGGTGTGCTTAGCGCAGTGGAGATGCGGGTGCGTTGGGATGTGTGCTAGCGTTGGCTCGTTGGCCAGGGAGGCAGCCCGAATTCGGTGGGTTTCGGCGCCGATGAGACGGGCGATTCTGGCGGCGGGTGTTTGCAATATCGGGATTTCGTTGGTAGACGCCGAGGCGCGGTTGTGATTTTTGGCTCCTTGGCTGTTTGGTTGCCTGACTGCTGTGGTCGCAACTGCGGCTGAGACGACTCTGGTGTGGTGCGCCGACAACGCAGGCTTCGTCGGGGCCACACCTGCCGCAGACGCAGACACTTTGTTGGATTTTGGTGCTGTGGCCAGAGACGACGATGTCGCAGGAGGAGACGCATTCGGAGAGACCGCCTTCGGGGCTGGCACTGCTGTGCTTGCCGTTGGTTTTGGCGTGGCTGCGGGGGCTGACGGAGCAGGCACTTTGTTGCCTTCTGTTGCAGCCGAAGAAACACGTTTGGGAGCTTTGGGGGCCTGGTCGGTTGATGGTTTTGGCGTGGCTGCAGGGTTCGCTCTCGCAGTTGTGGACGGCATCTTCCCTGTAGTAACCCGAGCCATTGTTGCTGTCGGCGAAGCTTGCTCCGCTCCAGATGATTTGGGTTCGGCAGCCGTCGATGCTCCCTGTACATTGGGGAAACGCTCAGGCGTCCCGTTTGTGGCATTGCGTATTGTTGTAGTCGGCGGCGGTGCCGCTGTCAACGGCGGCAATGAATCAGTCGATGCCTTGGTATCTGGTATTGCAGCTGCGGATGCCGTTGTTGTTTGTTGTTGTTGTTTTGTTGTGAAGTGCGCGTCTTTGCAGTTGGTTGTTTGCCAGTCTCCGTATTATTACTACTGTTTTCCTCGGGATTGGTAGAAGATCGACGAAGGGGTGGTTGTACGGGTGATTGCTGCTGTTTGGCAAGGTCGGTGGACGTTCTGGATCGGGTAGGCTTGACCGGCTTCTTAATGTTCTCGCCGCCTTTTGTAGTTTCCAGAATGGGCAAGTTGGCCGCACCAATACTCCGATTCGAGGATCTTCGTTTGCGGGGTGACCGCGGTGAATTGACGGGAAATCGACTTTTTCGGCTCGACGACGACAGCGATTTTTCCGAGGCATCCGTCATTTTATTTGTCGTGTTAGTTCGACGTGCCGAGGATGAAACGGATTTTTCGGACGCATCCATCACGCGTCGTCGGCGGGACGACGAAATGGATCGTTCCGACCAATCCATCATGGCTCCATCCTTAAATTATTATTATTGTTCTTGTTGACTCGCTGTCGCAATTCGTCCTTAACTTTTTTGTTGGCCATGATATTCTTGACTTTTAACGCGGGACGTGTTTTGGAATGGGATTTCCAGTCAAAGACTGGGATTCTTACTTTCTCTTGGTTTTGGAGAACGGTCACTGGATCGACTGGATGTGGAATCGGTGTCATCGAGAACGGAAACGTCACTTCCATCCATATCAATGGATAGATCGTCGTAGATATCAATAGAAAAGACCGAGAGTGTCTCATCGTCGTCGTCAATGCTCATGTCGTCGTCCACATTCTTCTTCTTGTCCTTCTTTTTCGACTTCTTTTTGGACTTTTTCTTCTTTTCCTTTTTCTTGTCCTTCTTTTTCTTTTTGGAGGACTTGTGTTCCTTTCGGGTGTGTTTGGAGGAAGATTTTTCCTTTTTGTGATGGGACTTGCCATTATTATTATGTTCGTTGTTGGCTGGTTGTTCGTCCCCAAAAAAGAGTGCACAAAAGTCGGCAAAGGCAAGTGGATTGTCATTTCTGTTGTGTGCATCATTGGCAGTATCCGGCGACGACAGAACGGCATCAATAATGCGTTGTGTGGTTTCATCTTGATGTTCACAGAGTTTGTTGATATTGTCTTTGGAAATGAATCCCTTTCCTTCGGCATCAAACATGGCAAATGCTTTGCGCAATGCTTCCCCCGAGAATGTTTCCAATCGTCGTTTTGCTTCTTCTTCCGTAGTATGTTGATGATGGGAGCAAATGGCCGCGCCCACCATGAATTCGGAATAGTCCATGACAACGTGGTTGTTGCTGCTAGATGGACTGGAATTGCTACTGTGATGGGAAGACGATCCAAATACTTTGGCATATCCTTCTTGTGCTTGACTGTGAGACAGAGATGCCGGTTGTGCTTGACTGTGAGAAACAGGTTGTTGCTGTTCCTGTTGTTGCAAAAGCAATTGTGTGTAGACTTGATAGAGTTGTTCTCGCTCTTGTGGCGTCAATAGTTGGGAAAGTACCAGCGTAAATGCCGCCTGTTTCAGTTTGGGCAATGTCCGGAATTCTTGTGCCTTTTTGAGAGCGGATGCTTGCATTCGTTGTTCCAATTGTTTCCACGTCGTTGTCGTTGATTTGTGGTTGTGTTGTTGTTGTTTTTGTTGTTTGGTAGTGGTATCCCACAGTTTTCCCTTTTGTTGCAATTCCTTGACAAATGTCTCGGCTTGTCCCACTCCCCAATCGACCGTGAAGCACTTTTTGAGTTGTTTTTCTTGTTGAATAATGGCTTCGACTTCCGTGGTGGAAATGGAGCGTTGATCTAGCTCCTCATCCTCGTCTGGTACGGCTAGGGGAGTTCCTGCCGAAAACGATCGTCGTACCAGTTTGATTTTGGTCTTGATATTTCGTTGTTGTGTTGTGGGTAGTGGTGGTGACTGTTGTTGTTGTGACTGCTGCTGAGTTGGTTGTAGTTGGGGTGGTAAGGGTAAATGACTGGGTGTATCGGTATCGGAATCAAAATAAGACTCTCTTCCCATGACAGCTCCTTCGCTGTCCATCGAGTCTACCGTATGTGTGGAATTGGTGGAGTGATTGGAGACATTGAGCATTCTGTTGTTTGGATTTCTCTTGTTGTTGTTGTTGTGTTTGTGTTTGTGGAACATGGAGCCTCTTCTCTTATTGGCCGCATACGTCTTCATGTTCAAATTCTTCAAGTCTTCTGTGGATGTCGTGTGGGTCATCTTATTATTGGACTTGTAGTACAGACCACTCCTGCTTGTACTACTAGTAGTGGTAGTGGTAGCACTACTAGCAGTATGAGTAGGCTTGGACTGCTGCTGCTGCAGTTTGAACAGTTGCTGCTGTCGTGTGAGTTGTTGTCTTACAACCGAGGGATCCATGGACTTGGTTCTCCGAATGGTTCGTTTGCCAGTACTATCAGTACTACTGCTGTGATGACTAGCTGGAGCGGCCTTGCTGAGTTGAGTGGCCAATTGTTCCATTTGTTCTTCATTTTCCAGAGCCTCCAGCATGGCGTCAGTGATATCGGGTTGATCCAGCTGTGATTGACGCCGTCGTTGTTGCGCCTTCAAGTCTTCCAATTCATCCGTGCTGGGTTCCCACCATTTCTTCCCACTGCCAATACTGGAACCCAGCGATAGCTGCGAGGTAGAAGCATGCAGCATGCTACTTCCCGTAGAAGGAGATCGAGATCGAACGCCTCCTTTGCTCTTGCTCATTCTTTACTAGTATCTGTATTAATACTCTCAGCTTAATAAAAGTACTATAGTTGGTTTGTCTTTGTTTGTGTGGTTAGACGAGGGATAGTTCTAGAGTGCTGTTTCAGACCCTCTCTCCTTTGAACAAGTCCATCCAAGGGAAAGAACTGTTTCAAGTTTTGCGTTTCAAGTCGGTGCTGTAACTTTTGGCTTCCGCGTGTATTATCTTGGTGGTTGCTTGGTTTTGTCTTGTCTTGTAGGCTACTGTATTTGAAAAGGACTATTGAGACCTTCCCCCCATTTTCGTCCACTGATAAGATGCTTAGGAACAGAAGGTGGTCAAAGAGTTAGAGATCAGGAAAAGAAATAACATGTGCTTGCTTTGTAATGACTCTGAATGACCGGTACCACTACAGATGAAGTACGCATAAGTAAGTGTCCACTACCTTGCCACTGGTACCACCTCCACGTACCGGTACCCTTATTGGCCATGCTTCATCATGCATTCAATCAACAATAGGCTGGCACAGCAATACTCGTGTCATTGCCAAAAAGGATCTGGAACAAGTGTTTTTAAATTAAAATCAGAAACTCCCAATACAGCAATCCCTGCTTTTGTATAGTATGATAGGAACTTGAAGGAAGGTTTGTCCTACCGTACATGTACCGATCATCTCAAGAGCCCATCGTAGCTTAGCTTAGCTTAGCTACCCATAAGCGACCATCAAGTGAAGAGGATATCACGTAAGTTACAAACTGAAACTCAACTCCATTGCTGAGAGCCACAGGAATGAGGGAATGGCAACCGATAACCGAATTCTGCAAGCTAAACTGGGACTGGACTGTGAAACTGGGACTTAGCAACAAAGGTAGGCAAGGAGTTAAAAAGATCAGGAATATGAAATAACATGAGCATGCTGCATGCTGCTGCCATGACTCTTAAATGGTGCTTACGAAAACAAGCATTAGGTGCTTTACACCTTGTGTGTAAAAGGGTTTGGGCGTTTGGGCCTCCAACCTCCAATCCTACCATCCGTACGTGCCAATGCCAAAGGCACGTTTGTATTTCCAGAGTTGCTGTGGGCCGGTCCATCTCACAATTTGTAATCTCTCATCTCCTTCTATCATCAACAATTTTAAAAGAAGGAGCCATGCCCACTGCATGTCCCATTTGCTTGCAAGAAAGCAAGGACGATGAAGTTGCTTCCTTGAAAGCGACGTGGTGCTCTCACAGCTTTTGCAAGCCCTGCCTCACCGGTTGGGTGCAGCATTGCGAATCCAAGACCCCACAGGTGTATCCTGGTTGTCCAACCTGCCGGTTGCCTATCGATACATGGGACATTGTCCAGCTCTTGGGGCGCCCCTTCCAAGAACGCCAACCAATGGAAGCAGCAACAGGACAAGAAGATATCCAGGAGGACCCAGACGAAGAACTGGATGGTTGGTTTACTGTTCCCCGTCACGAACCCAACGAAGAACCGGACGAATTCTTTCAAACCTGGTTGGAAGAAAATGGGGCTGTGAAATGCCCCACCCGCCAGTGTGGCATTTGGATCATCAAACCCGAAGGGTGCGACCGTGTGTATTGCACTTGGTGTAAGAGACGTTTTTGCTTTGTCTGCGCCCAGCAGGGGGGGGTGCCTTGTGCTGGCCATTATGATGACGAGTATCCTCCGAATCAGTGTTGGTATTGTGGTGCGTACGGTTACAAGTACGATACGTACTACCGGAAGAGGAATGGCACATACTACCCGTACTGCCCTTGTCAGAGCCCAGGTTTTTATGAAACCACAGAGCTCATCGAATCAATCACGGATGGGCTGAAGAGTAGCCATGGTGGCAAGAAGCGTTTGTTGTGGAAAGGCAATTCCCGGACTGGCAAATGCACCAAGACACGCCGGGGTGATATCAGCGTGAAACGAAGCGACTTGGCATCCTCCTCCAAGACAAGGACGCAATCGGAAGGGGACAAACGCAAAAAACGCAGCACAGGCAAAAAGGCCAACCGTGCCGGCAAGGCGCAGGGCATTGCCCTCACTGCTCCTTGATTCAACCATGACAGCCATCAATGATGGGCTTTTGCACGTTGCTCAAGCACGGGGATGGTTTATACTATCTAATCAAACTCAAACAATCATAGAGATGTTTATAATTTTGCCTGTCTTCATGTCATTGTAGTATTACAGTACTAGTTTTTGGGAGCTGGTCTGCCTCCACTCATGACAACCATCGGATCGACCGGATGTCCCGTTGCATTATACTCAGAGCCAGCATTATGCGATATGCATCTTATTGACATACATTTAGTTTAGTCACTATCCATTCTGAAGCGAAACGTGTGAGTAGAGTAGGCAGGCGGACGTTTATTCCGCTGGTTTCCTGGCTCCACTTTTCAGGTGCTTTGTTTCCTCTTTGAGCTAGTAGTTTGTCGACTTTGGAACGAGTGCTTTTGTCGTTGGCTTCGAGGCAGTTCGGGAGGTCTTTGCCGTTCTGTCGTTCCTCATTGCATTGACTGGCAACGTTCGGGTGCTGTTTCCCTTGGGGGCCCTTGTTGTCGGTGCCCTCCCATTTGTAGCCGACCTTGTCGTAGGTCGAGGTTTGGAAGATGCCCGATAATAATTACTATTGTGGGCCGAGCTAGAGTGTTCTGTAGTGGCGCACACGCTGTCCGAGGACTTGCAAACACCCGGTGGATCTCTCTTATTGTTGGGTACATGGGGACGACGAGTCCTGCTCGGTGGTCGCGGTGGTGGAGGCGGCCTGGGTCGCGGTGGAGGCGGCCTCGTGGGAGGCGGTGGCTTATTATTGGGTGCCACTCCATTAGTGGATATCTTGGTGGGAGCCTTTTCTTCTGCTTCTGCGGCTGGAGCATAGGTAATCGCTCTGGCAACGGCTGTTGTCGGTGGTGTTGGTTGTTGTTCGGATTCTTCGGTCGGTTCCGAGTTTCCAACCGCTCCGTACGTCAAGGAGCTCATGGCATTCAACATGTGCTCTTCGTGATGCACAAACCCCCAGCCCAAAATTCGTATAAGAGCCATGGAACAGACAATGACAAATCCAAAAATGGCAACATGGACGGGCTTTTCAATGTAGAATGGCAAGGTTGCGGCAAAGACAATCAGACCCAGTTTGAGCACACCCACGAAAATCAGTGGCCAGTTGAGGGAGGACCCTCTTTCATCATTGTTTTTGTTGTTGCCTCCTCGAAACAAGAGTTGGCACGTTTCTCGGATGCCTCGATGCGTGACCAACATCATTTCCAACACCACCAAAATGGCACAGAGTGAAATAGAGAACATCCATGCCACGGCATTGGCGGAAATGGGATCTCCGGCAAGTCGTCGTTGACCACCACTACCATCATCGTAGTTAGCACTAGCACTCGCACTACTAGCACTATCATACGACGACTTGTCTTCGTAGACGACATCTTTGAGCATGAGTTTGTAGGACACTCCAAAGGTGATGAGACTCATGGATAGTATTTGAATGAGAATAGAGTACAATGCCGCGGCCGTCATGCTGCGCCAGAGTGCATGTCCATCGGCATGACTGGGTTCCGACTCGTAATGTAGAATTTGTAGAATAATGACGGTAAGACATCCGAGTGCCATGATGATGTAGTAGTCCTGGTGTTCGGTCGTTTCCACAATCAATAGAGACAGAATGCTCTCGCCAATCATCAACCTAACATGATTGTGAAAAGTGAAAAGGAATGAAGGTAGCGAAAACGACAACAAGTGAGATTCATTCCATCGACTGCACCCAGCCTTGTTTTGCTGTATTCAAGTAAAAGTACGTACATGATCCACTCTCCATATCGATGAATCATGTAATCGATATTGTTGGGTACAAAGTATTCTCGAATATCGTGAATCTTTTTGTTGTGTGTCCCCTTTTGTAGGAGGGTGACGAGTAGCTCAAAGACGTATACCGTCAAGCATAGAACCAAGGGTAGATCGGCCAGGGACCAATTGACCCCATCCGGTTTGTCTTTGTAGTCGTCGTAGCCGGCCAAGAATCGGTAATTGTTATTGTCATCACCATAGCCTGCTTCGGTTTGGTTGCTGTTGTAAGAGTTGGTAGTTTCATTGTTGTAAGAGGAGGTCGAAGGGGATGTCAGTGGTTCGTAGCTGCCCCCATTGGAGGAAGAGTAATCCTTTTCGGGCGGCGCATCAAAGAGCCCAATTCCAGCCACCACGGCAGCCCCCAAATACGTGAGACTCATGGGCAATACTTGCGAAATGGTTTCGCGCAAGGTTTGATTCTGAATGGATTTGCGATCGCCATCTCCATACAAGAACAATTCGATATTGAGTCCCAGCTGGAGTAACGACTCGCAAAAGAGGGAGAGTGTCAAACAAAAGGTTTCGGCACTGCGGGGATCCCCCAACAATTTGAGTGGTTTGATGGAGAGAACGACAAAACTGACACAGAGAAATCGTGCCACCGCCACAAGCCGATGCGAGTAATCGACGAGTGTGTAGCGGGATGCGTACATGACATCGTTTTCCCATATTTTGTAGAGGGGTCCAAAAATGCCGACAAAATACACGACGGCGCGGGGCCACTGATCCGAGTCCATTCCCGTGGTGAGTTGGTATCCGAGATTGTAGGCCGCTGCGACAAAGATCAAATCAAAGAACAGATCGTGCCAATTGACATGGGGCAAGACTTGATCGTCATCCCAGAGTTGACGTTGTACGGGAGGACAGTACCACGGGAGAATCATGGAAGAGTGGTGGTGATCATGGTGATGATGATCATCATGATGCTTGTCTTTGGCGGTGTGGTTTGTGGTACTGCCCAAAGCCATACTAGCACTGTGATGTCCTGCTCCTGCAAATGTCTCGACGTCGTCATCTTGACTGTCCTGATCACCATCGTGATCATCATGATGATGATGACTATCGAGGTGATGATGATTGCTGTGCAAAAAGTTCTGCCAATCTTCGGAACTTTCGTGGTGTCTCTGGCCAAGGACTTCCAAGGCCACCATTGTTTCACGACGAACGTTGCGTCGTCGTCTTCCACCAGCACCAGCACCACCAGGAAGAGGAGGAGGATTGTGATTTGAAAAGGCCACTCCAGAAGAACGACGACGAGGTGCTCCTTCTTCTAGTAGAGCATCTTCCTGAACCGAAAACAGACCCGATTGATGATGATGAGGATGAGCGGCTGCTTGACGGTGACGAGCTCGTAGATGCCGCTGAGACTTCATGAAGTCGCGAAAGTCATCTCCTCCTCCTCCTCCTGATTGATGAGATTGATGAGATTGATGGGAAGGCAATTGCGCAAACTCTGAAAACCCAGGACGGGCACTTCGTCTTCGATTGCTCATGGTGCTGTACAGCAATAGCTCGTGTAGAAGTACGGTACGTCTGTTTGAGTGGAGAGAAAGCTGAGCTAGCTACCGGTATTAGCCACCAGGAACCAGCAGCAGATTTTATGAAGGTTGTCTTCTACCAGCTAGGGTAAGAAACTTTGTCGATGGTTGGTTGTTGTTGTGGCTGTGCCGCGATGGGATGGTGCCGGTGGCCAAAAGATCCATTTGCGCTTCGCATTGAAAAAGCAGCTGTCGCGGCAGCAAGCAGCCTTGTAAAAAGCACGTGTAAGAAGAGCTCAGCAAGTCACGATGAAGCAACCAGTACGGGTCTCAAGGCATTAACCAAAAATAGAGACATTATATCTTCGTGTCGGCTGTGTGAAGGTACTATTAATAGTCTTAATAAGTACTTGTACCAGTAGTTGAGAAGACTTAAAGACTGAAGAACGAATGACGATTAATTCGAGTCCTTGATAATTAAAATCCTAATCAATTTTTGGAGCCATCCTAATCAATTTTTGGAGCGGCTCCAAAAATTGATTAGGATGGCTCCAAAAATTGATTAGGATTCTGATTTATCCACGACTCCAATCGAATCGCATTGCGTTGCGGCGTTGCGGTAGTACAGCAACTGTTGCATGTATCCGTACCGAAGCGTATCCCACACCAAGATAAGACGATGGGAGTTAGTTGGGTAAAACCAGCTCTGCCATGCCCAAGACTACTGGACTGTCTGGTGGAGTGAACGCCTGGCAGATACCAAACGATTACTTGGCTGCTGGTCAGGAGGATTAAATTGAGATGGCCCTCTGTGCTTTGAGCAGGGGAAAGTTGCGCAGCACGATTGAGAGCTTCGTGGTACAGTGCTCACCATAATGAGGAGGAGCCTGTGCTCTCATACCAGTACTGTATTGTACTGGTACCAGTGACGGTACGGGTTGACGTGCATGTTGCACTCGGCTTCTCGATCGAGCCAGCAGCTTACTCTACCAATCAAACCTCCCATGGACACACAGGTACTGGTACCTGGTATAGGGGTGAGCACAATACAATACATAACGATTCTGGAAGAGGCTGCTTTATAAAATAGATAGGTGTAATCTTGAGTACTGTCATTGCCACATTATAGATGGTGTTTGGACACCGGCTTGAAACCACGACACCTTTCTCAAGTTGCCTTATTGTCGAGCGGCGCGATAGAGCCCCCTAGTATCAACGTTGGATTCCGCGACAGATAGTAAAAAGCGACAGATAGTGGATCGCAACCTCGTGGTGAGGCGATGACACGGAACCAGTCTTTGGTCGTGGCGTCTGGACCAAACAGGAGCGCCCTTCTGTTGTGGTAGCAATTGAGGACTATCAGGAACTTGATTTTGTCCAGCTTCCTCTGCGTTGTATCCTTGTCCGCCATATCAACGCAGTACCGAGCTAGGTGGCACAAGGTATGGTGGTCCTCCTCCAAAAGTTGGAGGAATGGTTGACTGCATATCCTGGAAGCAGCGGATCCCTGCCGCTCATACCGCTGCTGACGCAGAGATAAGTCAAAGATGTATTCTTTTTTAGTGCTTCTGTTAGTGGACGCAGAAAATCTTTTTTGGAGCCTGATGCTCAGTTTCGGATGGGGTTGTCGTTCAACAAAGTGGAAAGGTTCTCGAGATTGGTCTCGGACAATCCCACGCCACAAGGAACGTGGACCTCGCGGATGGAAGGCCGCTTTGAGAAACACATCCAATGTATCTCGCGCAGTCGCTTGATGCAGCGTCATGCTCAACTCTCGTGTTGTGTTCAGATATGACATGGCATTCGTCAGGTTGGTAGCTGCCTCTTGTCGCCGTTCCTGCGGAATGTCATCGAAATTAAGTGAAACCGCCCTGATACGGGGTAGCAGCGACAAGATAAAAAGTGCCCAGCGATCCATATGAACTCCCATGAAAATGATCTTCGTTATGCTGGTAGCTCCTTTCAGAGCCTCTTTCAAAGACTACCAATCGGTCTTCCACAGAAAGCCGAAAGGGACAGGCGATGATAAGGGTCCTCGCTTCTCGCTTTGTTCGCCCTCAGGAATGGACCCAGCGTGGAAGCAACAATGGAAGGACGAACTCTCTGCTCATTTTGCATTGATACATGCAGAACCAAATGTACGTATTGTGTTGTGCCTGCCGCTAGATCTTCGGCATATTGAGTGGAGAGATCTAGCAGGACTCTGCTGCCACCGATGGCAATTTCCACGGCGCTTACACGACGCCTCGCAATCAGGGACGCCAACGAATCGCTGGCATCGCCCTCATCCGCCAGAGAATGATAAACATACACCATTTCTTCGAATGCCTGAGGTATTGTTCAAATGTTTGCTTCTAGCTAGCTCGCAAACTGGCAAGTGCGGGTACAATATCAGCAGCAAACCTTTTGTGGGTGCTTGGACCATCGCAGAGTTTGCATCCACGGTCGCAGACGTATCGTGGCGTTTCGACCCGGCACGCGTCTGATTTCGGGAACCATCAAATCGAATGATGAATCGAATGCTAGCTCTACTAGCTAGAGTAGCCCTCAACGGATGTAGGGGCCTTGTGAAGTTTATTTGCATTGTCTGTTTGTCTGTTTGTCTGTTTGTGTGCCTGTTATTATAGTGTGTACGCCTGTCTGTTTTGTTTTATACCCGACTGCTGTTCCCTACCTCCCTCCTGCGCAGACCAACAAGAGGCGGTTCCAGAGTTTATTGTTGTAGCATATCGTTCAGAGTAGCCCCTACATCGCGGCTCTACTGTGGCTTTGCCATAGCCACGACGCTGGTCTGCAGATCCAAAAAGAAATAAGAATCGTTGATCGGGACAAGCCTTTAAAACATGCCCTACTGTCAGTCCATTCAGCCACTCTAGTAAAACCGTGTTCAGAGCAATGTGCGTCTTGTTCATGACTCCCAATGAAAATCCAATAATGGCTCTTCGTGTTTTAGTAAACTCAACGTCATTTTGCGTGTCACTTCAGACATGACCGACGCTCAAAGTAAGCTCAAAGACGCTGTCAAATACGGAATGAATACACGGTCACACTTGACACGCAACATCGGCTCGTGTTTAAGTCAATCATGATAAAGGAATCATGACCAATGACATCACCTCATGACTGATCTTTGTCCTTGGTACTAAGATATTTGATATGCCCAGACTAAATTACACAGACTCCAAAGGAACAGAGTCCAACCATATGTATCTCTCTACTTCCCATCATTGTATTTTGGTATCTCAACCAATCTACTAGCTACCAATTTTCAGAATGAAAGGAGGGAAGACAACAACTTGGAAAATGGGAATCTTATCATGAAGGGAAAGGGTATATTTTGCCACGTGGTTTCGCATCGTGACCAATCCGTGTAACGTGACTGTGACTCACAACTTGTGAACCGACTCTTGAATGACCGTTTTAAGCACGCTTATCTACGTTCCATCGGGAACTGAACTTCCACTTTAACCACGTCATGTTAACAAGTGATGTCATGGCGGTATGCTATCATACCTTCGTTTCTGCCCATGGGATCTGTTCGATGCGACGATGGCACCCACAAATGAAAGGCCCCAAGCCCATGACATAGGTTGATCATCCATTCTTCGATTGCACTTATGCTGACGATGAGCATGCAGCCAGGATTATCGATACCGGTACAGTAGAGAGCAAGCTTGAGTGATGGTCAAAGTTTTCCTACCGGTATCGAGAAAGACCACTGGTACCGGTAGAAGTACCAAAGGGACGAGCCGACTCCGAAAATTACAGAAACGAGACAAAGCCCCAAAGCTGATCGTTTCTCGACGTTGGATATGCATACCGGTATCAGCCATAGCCGTGGCAGTAGTCATGATGGGCTATCAACCTTTGGTATTTCCAAATCTTATTGGTGGCACAAAAGATACTTTTCCCACGAACACAACGCTGCCACCAATAATACCCAGAGGTGCGATTTCTACAAGTACCACTCAATTGCCACCAACGTCAACATCACAGCCATCAGCCAACGACCGCCATGACACCATCGAACCTCCACAATCATCACGGGAAACGGGCAGTAAGCTCCCAGGAACTGCTGTACCTTATCAATCCGAGCAAGCCGCCAGGGAATTGCAGAAAATAGATCAGCCTTGGCCGAACTGGTCACACTGCAATCCTTTAGCAGCCTTTGAAGATCGCTGCCATCCCAAACCTGCCACCTGCCGGCATGTTCAAAATGCCACCAACAATCATGGGATTGGCAATGCCCTGGAAATCACCTATGTCAAAGTGGCATCCGAATCACTCCGACAGAAACCAGACTGTGCTCCCATTATTCACGACAAACCTGTACGACCCATACATCCGGGGGAATTTTCCTTTCAATTGTTGGACTACGTGAAGGAACCCTCGTGGGTCGTTCAACCCAGCAAATCGTTTCGAGATTTCCAGGCCAAATGTCTGGCGTTTCTGCTGACACAACCCAAACAGGTCGTCACGGACAAGGTACAAGCCATTCAGCAACAGTATAGTGCACAACAACACAACGACAAACAACACTATCCTCTCGTGGCCATGCACCTACGAACGGGATGGAGCGATGAAATGCAACGAAACGTTCCTGGATGGGATGGACTGGGATCCTGTGAGGATTATCAAAACCAATTCCCTGTGGACATGGCGCATCATGCCGTGAGTGATTTGCCATTGAAGCAAGTCATTTTGGACTTTGCAACGGCCGCGGATCGTGTGTTTGGGGCAGGGGGGAACCACAAACAATGGCGATTGTACGTGGCCAGTGATGCTCCGGGGATTCGAAACTACGTCCGACATTTGTTACACGACCGAGTCGTGGGACCCATTGTGTGGCAAGAGGGTCGTATTGGACACAACTACCAGGGTGGAATGGCTACCAGTTTGGAGGAAAAGGTGGCAACCTCTGTGAGTGCATTCACGGATTTGGTCATTATGAGTGAAGCCGATATGCTAGTCTGTATTAGTTCCCGATTCCCGTCAGCTGCCAACCTGCGATCGGGAGGTTGCCCACAGCGATTTGCCGAGGTGGGTGCATTCCCGAGGCATGAGTTGGCAATCGCCGGAGATTTACTCCACAAAGCATGGACCAAATATACTAGCAAAAGCAAAAACACTTCACCTGGGGCTATCACCGGTAGTACCCCGTGGTGTCCTGCTCTGGATGAGGAAGCCAAAGCAAAGCTGTTTGATGCCATTCCGGGAGGCAGGGACAATCCCTGTACCACAGCTGTGGATCCAATCCGAGCATGTTTCTGTCTGCTCAAGTTAAGCCATGCATAGATATGTGTGCAAGGAGAGGCTGGGCTGGGGGAGAGAAATGGTTTAGTTGCCATGGTGGTGCGCTAGGACCTTCCAAGGTTGCGTGGCCTGCAACTCAACTCGAGCCCGCAGGAACCAAAATTGCAGGAAGCACGAACTGATGCCAAAATGCCACGACGGCAGCATCTACCTCACTGCTATGCAAACCTGGCTAGCTAGTCTAGCTACTAGCTAGCACTAGACAACGATGATGCCCCGAAGAAGGCGCCTCAACACACGCACAAATGACCAATAATATGCAGGCTCGAAGGATAGCACGGCATGTTCGTGACCCAAGGTAGGATTTGAATTGAGTGACACTTCAACTTGCCAATTTTGGCCCAAAATAGACGAAATTGGACACCGTGTCTTTGTGTTCAAATCAACTTTGGCTATTTTTATCTTCTGCAACCACGTGGCAAATGGAATGTTCGAATGTCTTCCAACCAAAGAATCGAGATGAATTGTCGTTGCTTGAATGTCGAAGATCTGTCAATGCCTCTAGAAAGTTAAGAATATGACAATTGTTGCCATTTTGGGAGCAAGATCCAGATTTCTTGCGTGACACCTCATTTTTCTTCTTTCGTGCGCTTCAAAAAGAATTGGCAGTTTCTCTTCTTCCTTGGTGACCATTTTCATCTGAATTCAAACGCCTCAAGCTAGCTTTACAGAACAAGACTACTGAAGATGACGACAATGACAGCTCCACATGCACAACATCAGAGGCAACTAGTACTGAAATGGGTTTTGCTGTTGTCAGTTCTGTCCGTGTCGTTTGGCTTTCACTCCATTTCTCCGCCTGCACCTTTACATGCACCATCATTCCGTTGGAACACTTACGACTGTAAGCCCCATGGCTCCTTCTCGTTGTCAGCCGTCAAGGTAAAGACATCCGACGATGATAGTACTACTAGCACTACACTGTACGACATTTTAGGCGCGTCTCCCGACGACAGTCGAGCGGAACTCAAGCGTCGCTACGCACAATTGGCACGACAAACGCATCCGGATGCCATGATCCGTCGGAACCGAAACAACAACAGTACTGCTACATCTACTAGTAGCACCACCAGTACAACGGAACACTCGTTTTCGGACATTGCCGAAGCGTACCGTGTCTTGAGCGACGCAAAGCTGAAGAAACGATACGATCGTGAATTGGCCGCCGCCGCATTTAGTCGTCACGTGTCGCAAATGGCATCGGATTGGACCGAACAGGCGGCGCCCAAAGTGTCCAGTATGCTCGATACCATTGCCGTTCCCTTTCTAAGACGAACCACGGCCACGACGCTGGCAGGCATTCAAGCCGTGGCGACAAGACCCACTACGGAAGATGTCGTGGTGTCGGCCATGAAAGCCGCTCAAAAAGCCGGACGCATGGTGGACGATTTGGAATTGTTGGAACAGAGTGAAGCACTGGAAGCTCAGCTACAAGAACAACTCGATCAAGCACAAGCACTCAAAGCACAGCTGGACAATACTTCACTACGACGGGTTCAAATGGCACTGCAGACACCCAATGCCACCATTTCCACACACGATGCATGGAGTCTACTGCAGCATTGGAAACAACAACAGCAGCAACATCATAGCAATGACACTTCTACTACAACCTCCAAAAACAAAAACAACAAACAAATTCCAGTCGTCGAACAAAAAATTACCGATTGGACTACGATTCAACAAGAATTAGAGACGACCAATCAACGAGTCGATCAGTTGGTCACCAAGTACCAAGATTCCGAACGGGCACTCCAACAAGCTCGTGCCCAAAAAGTCATGGCATTGCAAGAACAAAAACGAGCACGAGAAGCACTGGAGCGAGCCAAACGAAATGTCGCCGCCACCAATCAACAAGTCAATGCCGCTACCAAAGATCTCGCACAAGCGGCCGTCGCATTGGAGACCAAGAGTCATGAACGACACAAATTAGAACAAAAATATCAAAAACAGCACACGGCGGTAGCCGCCACGCTTCACAAAAGTAGCAAACAGAAATCACTGGGAGTCGTCGTGCCCCTTGTGGTCCGCAATAATACAGACTCTTCACAAAACGAGGAGGAAGAAGAAGATTTGGAAGCATTGCAAGAAAAGGAACGGCAACTCTTGCAAGAATACAAACAGCTCGAAATCCAGGCCAACAAGTTGCAACAGCAAGCCAATAAACTCAAAGACAAGGCACAGAAAATCAATCAGACGCAAGCAGCAAAGCCATAATAATATGGTTGAGATGAGATAGTAGAGCAAGTTTGAACGCGAGAGACAAAGTACACGACGAAAACACACCTCCTGTACCGTACAGTACAGTACGAGCAAGTCACACGCGACAAAAAAGCCACTAGGTCGGTTGGGGTACTCGATCTCGTGTACATTAGAAGAGCATCCAATCAATCAAGGAGGCGCTGGCAAGTTTTTCCTGACAATATGAAATGAAACGACACAACACAACAACAAGACACTGTAAAAATTTGCTAGCTACCTACTAGACGAAACTAACTAAACACGTAGTACTGTAACTCGGAACGAAACGATACGATCCATCGTTCCATTTTTTACAGGAGGTTTTCCATCCATCAATATACCGGTACATGTGGACGCAAGTGTCGTTGCCTCAGCTACGGTACTGGTAGATACCGGCAGTGGTTCCATGGGAGCTGTTGCCGCCAATAATGTTGCAATGACGACCCGTACCGGTACCTCTTCCTGGTACTCGAGTTCAATGGATGACGATCCGTCCCGAAGCCTCTCCGCTCTACCATAGGATGCTTCAGCTACGTAGACTAGCATTGGTGGTTGGCTCCTTCAAGGTTGATTGACGTAGAAGAGATCGTTTTTCCTCCAAACCGTGGAAAGCGCTTGGAAAGCCACGGCGTGTTGAAGCTACTCTTCCTGGCTACAGTGCCCCAGGCACTCCAGAGTAGCTACCGTACGGTACCGGTACCAGAGGTTGAGATACAACGGATCATAACTCGGAAGGAAAAGATTCGATTCATGTCTGCAAATAGTAAACCAGGTTAGATAGATGATGATATCGATGCTGCAGCTGGCAGCCTGCCCATCTCAATTCTGCGCCGTTGGTCAAGATCCTCATGTAGAGCAAGGGCGGGATTTGCTGTTTGGGTTGCCTTCGGGACCACACGGAGGATTCGATTCAGTGGATGGCGGGGTCTTGGATATGATAGTTGCATTGGAGGGGGGGTTCGGTCTGAACAAGAGATGAGCCAAAGGATTCGCAGGCAATAGAACTAACATCGCTAAACCGCCTCGGTTGCGATCCAATGCATGGAGAGTGGGACGGGGGAAAGACCACACCTTTTTTGGTAATGAGAGCGACATGAATTTTACTACAAAGCTAGGTACTACTAGTATTGTGTTCACGCACATGCATGTCTTGTTTGGCCACCCACAACTGCAACTCAATCATCAAACATGCCATCCAAAGCGAATCACACATACTGCCAAGTGATCCAATAATGGCACCGAAGTTCTGGCTCTTGACACTTCATCAAAGTTCATTGTTGCACAAGAATGGCAAAGATCATCCCATACCTGTGTGTAGAAGCAGTCACCATTGCCGTCCAACAACTCACAGTAGATATCATTGCAGGTCTCATGAGTATAGCCACGAACTCCCAATCTCAGTTTACCCGTTGCATCATCACCTAGCGTCAACTGCCAAATGCAGTAGTCTTCTTTGGGCCCTAGTAGCTGAGCTGGGACATTCGTTTTATAAGCCTTGTAGCCCCTTGGGGCTCCAGGGAGAGGATTGTCAATGGTATCCGGTGTGACACCAAACTCATTTTGTGTGTACTTGCAAACACCATCAATGGTTCCCAAAGCAAACTTGACATGGTCCAAGCTGTATTGGGCCCGCAAAAGTTGGGACAAGCACATGGACAAGCATCCACCGCGAGAGGCCCCCGCAATGACAATGCCTTTGATGTTATCCCAAGAAGACACCTTGCTATCCAAATAGGCAGCGTACCCATTCAGGGTGGCTTGCTTTTCCTCGGCAGAGTCCATATGATTGAACTGGGAATCAAACATGGTCAAGTAAAGAGTTTCATTGTTGGGAAGGAAACGTGTTTGATCGTGGTAGAATTCGGCAGCCACACTCAACCGATTGACAGCGCGAGATGCTGCACCGTTGCCAGTGGTATCCCATTGCCAACCATCATTGGCCCCACTGACAACACTGCCCAGATCCTTGCTGGATCCTTGGCCACTGGCAAAGATGGCCAGGTACTTTGGGTTGGATGGAGCCTCTCCTATGATAGCCATGGCAGCCATGTCTTGGTTCTCTTCGAGCATGCCAGCATCTTTCCAAAAGGAGCCGTAGGGGTACGAATACTCATTGCAGCTCAGCCGTCCCCTTAAAAAGAAGAAGAAAAACTGTAGAACGTTGCCCAACCATCCTCTGTCGGTGCAATATCGAAGGGGGTGAAGGTTCACTGGAATATCCTCATGTCCCGCAGCCGCAGAGCAAGCAGCATTCTGTAGAAACAAGAGGGCGAGACTTGTAGCAATGAACGACGACAAGGCCTTCATGAATGGAAATCAAATCCAACCAAACATGCACAATGCCACCACACTCGACGAGCCCAATCTCAATAATGTTTGAACGTCTGCCACAAAGACGAAAACGAACCTATGCAACTTTGGCATCGCAGCCTCCATCCTTTATTCCGGTTCGTGGCTGTTTACGACGCGACTGGATGGTAAGAACGTTGCTATTTTAAAAATTTTACTGTACCAGTAACAGCTGTTTAGTATCATCTCTACTAAGTAGTTAGGAGTACATCTACGCACGGTACCTCTACTGGCTAGCTGGATGGTACTACCATACAGTTCCATAAGTCTGCGCTTGTACAAAGATTTGAATGCACGACTGGCTTGCAAGTTGAAGTGTCACTATTCAAGTATCCAATGACATGAGGCTCGAGCCACATACATCATCAGATCCAAAGCCACAATGGAAACTTTTCACAGGTCCAAAAGGTTAGCACACACCTTAGCCAATAGCATCCACAGTGCTCCATCATACTACTATATACTAGGAAGCCACCCCCTTTAAAATATCAATATCCAGCCGTCCAGCAGCATGTCATCCGCTGATACCAGCTAGTAGTACCAAGTCTGCTCCCAAAAAGCAAAAGCTGCCTCCACCATCGGAAGCACTATTGCACCTACTGGAACACAAGGATGTCTGGGTCAACAACGTCTTTTCGTTTGTAGGAATGGGACATTATGCCTTTGTGGGACCCGTCAACAAGCAATTGAATCAGCTATACAAAGAGTATTGCGACAGCAAAAAGGATCCCACGCAAGTCTTCAAACGGCACAGACTCTACAACGAAACACGAGTCGCCACTGGCACGGATACATTCTACAGCTCCAGTTTCCAGAAGGTGGCATGTGCTCAATACTGGGACACGTATGCTACACAAAGCAGCTCTGATAAAAAAGCCCTATGGCAGAGATGTCTGCGCCGCAATTGCGCTCGTTGGAACGCTCCCTGTGCTCCAATGGGCACGACAGAAAGAAGAAAGAATTCCAATTGGATGCCCGAACATGCCAAACTGCCGCCCAAGGTGGTCACCCGGAGTTTCTCCAATGGGCCCATGCAAATGGCTGCCCATGGAACCAAAACACAAGCGCAGCTGCCGCAAAAAGTGGCCATTTGCATATCCTCAAATGGGCTCGGGAGAATGGTTGCAACTGGGATGTCAATACATGTACCAGGGCTGCCGAAGGTGGACATTTGGAAATGCTGCAATGGTTGCGGGAACAAGGATGCCCTTGGAATGAGAATGTGTGTTCGTTTGCTGCCAAAAATGGCCATCTGGAGACCCTCAAGTGGGCTCGAGCAAATGGATGCCCATGGAGTAGTTCTACCCTCTGGTGTGCTGCCGTAGGGGGGCATTTGGAAACCCTCCAGTGGGCTCATGAAAATGGATGCCCATGGAGTTTGGTGGTATCCCGTGACGCAGTAGCAGGCGGCCATTTTGAACTGCTGAAATGGGCCCATAACCACGGCTGTCCATGGGATGCATCGACCATCTATGAAATTGCTATACATGGCAATTTGGAAATGCTAGAGTGGGCTCAGCAAAGGGGATGTCCATGGCATGTGAGTACATGCCTGGTTGCAGCTAGATGTGGGCATTTGGAATGTCTCAAGTGGGCTCATGAGAATGGATGCCCTTGGCATGAAGGTGTATGCAAAGAGGCAGCTCGACATGGGCAACTGGAAGTCGTGCAGTGGGCGCATGAGAATGGGTGTCCATGGGATAGAAGAACTTGCCAATCTGCTGCTAGAGGGGGGCATTGGGGAATTCTTCAATGGGCATATGAGAATGGATGCCCCTGGGATGAAACAACTTGTGCAGCTGCAGCTCGTGGAGGCCACTTTGAAATTCTAAAATGGGCTCACCAGAATGGCTGCCCGTGGGATACCTTTACAGTCCATGATGCAAATGCAGGTGGCCATTTGGAAATCGTCCGTTGGGCTCGTCAGAATGGATGCCCAGAAGGGGTGGTAGACCCAGATGACGTTTCCGACAGTAGCGTTAGCGAAGATCAGAAAATGTATAGCGATCTGTCGATTAGCTGGTTGCTCGTTCTTCGTACGGTAGAGTCGAGTCGAGTCGAGTCGAGTCGAGTCCTCGGTCTGTTGCTTGCCTTGGCCACGGAAAAACGTTGCTTTGGCCATGGAAAATCGAGGATCGTTTCGATGGACGGAAAAAGGGCGACTGCACCATAACAAAAGTCGCGTACTCAAGGAAGCTGCAGCACGCTATCGAATTAGAAAGTGTACGCCTTGATGACGACTTTGATTGGAGCGTTCCTCACTGTGATACTGTAGCTTGTGCGATGAGGTCGATTGCGTCGCTCGAACTTGATAGTCGCGATCGCTTGAGTACCGTACTGGCATCGTCCAACAGCGACAAGCCATTTAGCATCGATCGAGGCCAATCGCTTCTATCACTACCGATATCTGCATCCACTTTTCGGGCCGAGCAAAACTCGCACGTGAATGATGCAATCGAATCAAACAGGCAGCTTGCTCCGTACCACGTGCCTGTACTCGCAGCCTTCCTTTGAGGCCAGCCACGCACCTCAGTTCTCTGACGACTACCGGTTCTTGGAGTCTCAACTCCCCCGACAATCCCGCTACGGTAGACTACTGGGATCGGATAGGGCGCAGCTGCGAGATCCGACGTTTGCTCTTCCTCCAAAAACGCAATATGATTGAATCCAGCAAGATCGCGGCCGAACAGAGCAAATGTTCTGCTCCGACGCATCAGTTTGCGTTGGTCGCTTGGAACCGTTCCCTGTTCTGGACGATCTATCTACTCCTCTCCGAGAAGTCATGGTCGAAACGGTATACAAGTCATGACTGCCACTCTAGCTATAGTAGGTAGCTAGATGGACAACGTGAGTCGAGTCAATTTGAGCTGGTTCTTTCCTAAATCAATTATTGGTACGTAGTCTACACCGTCAGTTCCGTCACGTCCGCCGGTAGAGAACTAACTAACCACGCTACAGTATTGGTAACAACAGGAGAAGCAGGTACAAAGGAAATGAATCGAATCGTTTCATGCAAGATATGCAAATTCTACAGGGCACGGCTCGTATCGGTTGCGTCAAATTGAAGGACGCCGTGTGGAACAGATCATTGTCGTGTGAAGCAGGCGACTTTCCACCCCCCGAGCAAAAGTAGTAGCAACACGCATAATAAAAGAAGTAACGGTAGTGGTTTGGCGTGCCCTCGGCAGCGTAGTCATTTTCGAAAAGAAGACGACGAAAAGAGCCCTCCCAATGACATGCCTCTCTTTCCGAGATAGGGTCGTGGGATAGACGGCGGTGGACTGCTGTCATCGTGGCTGCCATGAGACTTGGATCGGATGGCTCGTTTGGGTCGTAACAAGGCCGCCAAGCCACCGGATGGTGCCATCATGGATGATGACCTGGTTTTTGTGGTTGGACTACTTGTGGTTGTGGTCGGTTCGGGACTCGTAGTACTGCAATCTTGTGGTTCCTTTTGAGGATGATGATTGTGGTGTTGTGGTTGTTGTTGTGCTAGTAGTACTTCTTGGAGTGTTTGTAGAATGGTGGTAAAGTCAGGCCGTGCATTGGGGAAAGGACTCCAGCATCGTTTCATGAGGCACTGTAGATTGATGGGCCAGTGTTTGTCTACATGTGGTCGTTCTCCTCCCATGACAACGTTTGCCATGTGTTTGGCACTGCTATACCCATAAAATGGTTTCTCTCCCGAGAGCAATTCATGAAGTAGAATTCCAAACGAGTACACATCGACCGTTTGATTGTATGGCAATTCCTTGGCAACTTCGGGTGCCATGTATCGTCGACTGCCGGTGTTTCCCGTGAGCTGGTATCGTCCATCGGCATGTGATTCGTTGGGTTTGAGTTCCTTGGCCAATCCAAAATCGAAAATCTGTAGGATCATGAAGCGAAGCAAAAGAGTGGATGAATAAATGAGGGTACAGAAAGGAATATAGAAGAAAGAGCAATTTCTATTGAGGTGCGAAAAAGACATACCTTGAGTGTCCCGTCCTTATCAAAGCCAATATTGTCCGGCTGGTGATAGGTACCATACCGTAGGAGAGCAAGTAGGGTGAGTAAGCACTGTAGTTTGAACACTGTTCTGCTAGCAAGTTCCTCCTCGACAGCATCTTGGAATGTTCTTACCTTTAGATCTCTAAAGACGACCCGATGTTGATGCAAATACTGCATGGCCGTAGCAATTTGAATGGCAATTTGTATTCTCTGAATGAACTGATTTCGTTTGTGCTGTTTGTGTTCACTGCTCATACTGTTGGTGATAAAGGCAAAGAGTGGTTCCTTTTGTTCTTGTTGCTCCTGCCGCCATTGTTCCAGCGTTTGCTCTAGCGTGGAATAGAGGCGATCCACTGTAATGAACAGTCCATACTTGTTGTTATTGTTGTTGGACATGCTGACATTGGATGCCAAGTCTCCTGCCGTGACGGCATACAGATTGAGAATGTTGGGATGACCTCGTAGTGCGTGTAGAAAGTAGGCTTCTTGTGCCAAATCGGCGGCTCCGTGTGCAAACTGTTTTCGATTGGCCATGATGGACCGCTTGAGGAATTTCATGGCCAGTGGTTGGGGGTCTTCACCTTCACCGCATAGTAAGTGCTGTTTGAGAGTACACGCCTTGACGGTACAGAATCCTCCTTCTCCCAAAGTTTCTTCCACGTCCAAATCGTCACAATCCAACTTGCGGAGGTTCATGCAGTCTTTCTTGTTCTTGTTGTCAAAGAGCACGGAATTCTCTTGCAGCTTGAGCACGGCGTCCACAGCGGCCTTGCTGGCCAACATGGCACTGGCAGGACACACTTTGCCATAGGCCGTACAGGAACACGTACACGACGAAAGACATTGTTGGATTTGCTTTTGATGCTGCTGATGATGATGATGATGATTGTCACACTCGTCGTCCTTCCGTTCCATCGTGCCGGCTGTGACCGCCACTTCGTCGTTGGGGGCCACCATTGTCTATCAGTGTTTCTTCTTTGGTGCTTGACGGTTCACTTATGAGCTCAACTGCAGCAATCTAGCTAGCTGCTGGAACAGGCAAACAGGCAAACTGGCAAACTGGCAAACAAGTAGGATAGCTTTGGAATGCCAATCAATGGTTGGTTCACTGACACCACAAGGCAACTTGAATTAAATGAGATCGGATCGGAAGCAATCAACGGAAGCAACTAGTCTACTGCTACGGAATGGGCAGCACGGAAGTGGTGGGAAAGGAAGTTGGCTTGGTTCACCCTTCGCTTTTCCTTTTGGATTTTTGTCGAGGTTGTTGTGGATCAGGATTGTGGCCACTTGAAGCTTGATGACCATGGGTCATCACAGGAAACCGGAAGCAGTGCAAGAGCAGTTAAAAACCAAGGTCACATACATGCAGACTGGCTCCATAATAATTAAGAAGTGGTCTGGACTCACTACGTATGTGACTGTATTTCGTCAGTGGCAACCCCAAATAAAAGATACCACTATCAATGGGTTGTACTGAAAGCTGTTCCTTGCGGAATGAAAAGAGACACCAGGGAACCAGGAGTTAATAATAGTCAAAGAAAGAAGTGACACCAGAGGCTCTGAGCTCACAAGAGAAGAACAAGAGACGAAAGATTTACAGTCACAGGGCTGTCAACATTCTCCTGAGACTGTTCTTTGGACACAGCTGCGGAACCTTTCACTTCAAGCTTCAAGCAAGTAAGTGTCAACAGCAGCAGGGTTACTCGGCATTTTGTCTATTTAAGGCTATTGTATCTGATTACAGAGTTTCCTAAATGTTCTATGCTCCTTTGTAAAGTGGCTTATGTCTCACAATGTCTACGGATGTCTCACAATGTCTCACAATGTCTACTAATGTCTCACAATGTCTCACAATGCCGCACAATGTCTAGTAATGTCTACCAATGTCTCACTTTGTCTACACAGTACAGTAAAACAGTACAAAAATGTCTCACTTTGTCTACCAATGTCTCACAATGTCTCACAATGTCTCACTTTGTCTACCAATGTCTACCAATGTATCACTTTGTCTCCTAATGTCTCCTAATGTCGCACAATGTCTACTTTGTCTACTTATGTCTACTAACTGTGTGTAGACATTTACACTTTTAAAATCCCCAAAACACTTTCCCAAATTTAAACAGACAAAATGCCGAGTAACCCAGCTCTCTGTCAAAAGCTGCAATCATCTGCGTTTACCGAACACTGCTGACGTCAAACTCCGATGAGAATATTATGGTACGGTCACACATGTTCGGTACGGTACCGTAAAGTGTACCTCCATAAGATTCTACCCTTGGCCTTACATCAACTCTGGCTGCCTGGTTTCTGCTTTTTACAATTACTAAGACCATGGTACGGTAGCTCGCCAGCAGCAGGGTACAGCAGTACGGTAGCACCTCTTGGAACGCACACACGCAGAAGAACCTTTTCTCACAATTCCAAATTGAACAAGCAAATTTGCGCTCTAGTAGTACCGTACCAGCCCGGCTACCGGATGTGCTAGTGCGGTAGGGCATGATCATTCATTCGAATCTTCCATCCGTGTCCTCATTGATCAATGCAGTGGATCCTTATCACGACCATAGATCATTACGACTGAAACGCCAACCCCAAACCATCCAACAAGCAAAAGGATCTGGATAAAAAGGCAAGCTGACAGAGAAGATAGATGCAATGCTCAAGTTCGCATGACATCATCAGCTGCATCATCTTTTGCCTTGTCAATGATCATGCTGGGGAGTGAAAGGTTGCGTGCTGGGGCTCTTGAGAACAACACGCACACATTCCCTTGATGAAATACTGACTTTTAAAAAGAAAAATGCTTGATGAAATTCTGACCAAAAGGAAATCTACGCCTGGAGATGCTGTAGACTTGTGTATTGATTCAACTACAACACGCACGCATTCTCTTGATGAAATATTGACTTAACAGAAAAGGGGATGAGCAAACTTGCCCATGGCTCTGTGTTGAATTTGTTAGAGCGTTTTTGTAAAAATTGTGTGCCCTAAGCCAATCTTTTACTTTGGCTGTTTTTCTCTATTGGATTTGATTGGATTGCATTGGATTAGATTGGATTGCATTGAATTACAGTTTACTATATAAATAACAGTACTAATTGGAATCCAATTCAATCCAATTCAATGCAATGCAATCCAATCTAATCCAATTAAATTTATCTTCTGGAAAAAATACGAATTTCGTCTTTTTAACTGATTTTAGCGAGTCACATCCATTACAATACAAGGCTATTGCAAGATTTGCCCATCCCCAAATGCTTGATGAAATTCTGTCTTATATCAATACGAGCAAGGCATTCCAGATTTCTGGCTCTTTTGGCTCAGATCAATCTTTCCAGCTTTCGAAGAACGATTGTGAAGCAAATCTGCTTACATTCCTTTGGACGACGAGTCAAGCCAAGCCCTGAACAGGACGATACATGTACATGTAATGGAAAATTTCTGTACCTCTGCGGAACATGTGGTCTGATCGTTTTGTCGGTTTGTCGGGGCTACTGGGTGCTCCAGGCATTGAGATTGCTGCTTTTCTGTTTTGGTATTCTCTCCGTACTTGCCTCCGGGACAAGCCTCGGCAAGATGATTTGCCTAAGACACCGTTGGCTCTTGTGGGACTTCGGATGGTGATTGTCGGAATGTATTTGTTGTTGTTGTCACCATTATTTTACGAACTCTCTTTCTTGAGTGAGTCAATTGACAGGACTAATGGCAGAGCATCCGATACCACACTTCCGGGTCTTATGGCGCAGTTCAAGCAGGATTATGGACGCATTGTATCAACTGAATCTGGCTTTACACGTCTACACCACAAACTACTACACATTGACCTGCCTATGGTTGGTGAGGCCCAACCCGTGATTTATACTATGGAGCACAATCTTGCAGGTCGGTACTGGTAGCACAAGAGTAAGAAGCCGCACAAGAGGTGCGCCTAAATCTTAGCACTGTGGCCAAATTCAAGAGTGTTGCTGTGGCTGTAGCGGTACCGGTACAATCGCTTCAAGGACACATGCAGTGCTCTGC